TAGAAAATACCACCATCCTATCTTCTTCTGGACCGGAATAATATAGCAGAAAATCCTCTCCGTTGAGGATTCTTTTGTATTCCTCTGGAAATTCGATCTCTTGGCGATGATTGGGCAGAGCTGGACCAGCCCTTTTCTGTTGACGGATATGGCGGATCGTTCTCTTCATCACGTCTATAGTTGGAAGTTTGTGGGCTGCTACTTGACTGCATTGGATTGTTGCATCGGTAATTATAGCCTGAGGGACATTGGTGGTTGTTTTGGCAGTTGTTTTAATAGCCTCGTAAATTTTAGCCGATTCCACTCCAGCTGCGTCTCCGACATGATTGTGTTCCCCTCTTACCGTAACAACATCATTCACTGTTTTTACCCTCACTTTAAACTTAGTTTTCTGGTAGTTTTCGCACTCCCACAATATTTGATCAACGCTTTCTTTTTCTTTAAAGAAGAAGTGCCCATCAAGGAGCACCTTCTGCTTTCCTTTTTCTTACATCACGAACTCGAGAGGCATTTTAACAGAGGTACTGGCCGTATGATGGTGTGACTTGAAATGAAAATTTGAAATATCATTCCAGTTTTATATTGAAATCTAACTACAAGAAAATGGGATTTACTTATCTGGTAATTATAAAATTAAATATGATATTGTAATGTTATTTTAACAATTGCTTTAAGTTATTGTTCACTAATTAGTTCTTGCAATGTTATGTTACTACTACTCTAATTGGGGATTTACTTATCTGGTAATTACGATGAAATTCTTTTCGAGGTAGGTAAAAGGGATTATAAAATTAAATGAGATATTGTAATGTTATTTTAATAGTTGCATGAGATATTGTAATGTTATTTTAAGTTATTGTTCACTAATTAGTTCTTGCAATGTTATGTTACTACTACTATAATTACGGATTTACTTATCTGGTAATTACGATGAAATTCTTTTCGAGGTAGGTAAAAGGGATTATAAAATTAAATGAGATATTGTAATGTTATTTTAATAGTTGCTTTACGTTTAAGTAATTCGTTTTTGCCAGGGATTATAAAATTAAATGAGATATTGTAGTTATTTTAATAGGTGTACTTATGATATTACTTTAAGTTATTATACACGGTGGTGATAAAGTTCGGAACAAAATTCATAACTATGATATAAGCGATTGTTTTAAAAAATCCTCGGACACGTCGATTTATTTTGGCGGTGAATTGCTGTTGAGTTGTGGCGGTGAATTGCGTTGCGGTGGACTGTTGGCGATGATTTGCTGTAGGTGAATTGTTGGCGGTAAATTTTCCGGATACCCGAGCGGCAACCCTTTGAGGTAGCAAACTTAGGTGTAGTATCAGGGGACCTATGTCTACCATTCCATCAAATTTCATTTCTTTCCGACCTTTTGCGAATAGACCCCCTTATTCTTTACCCACCGCTTGGACTATGTACAGCATGTAACAAAATTAAAACGTTAATCATGAGAAAATTTTATCTCGTTGGTAGTGAACTTGAGCCAAAATTTCAGTGGTAACGAAGAAAGCAATAATTAAAAACGTATATTCCAAAAAAATTGACTTGTTAGAATATTTTTGAATATTTGTATATTGCAATAACAATTACAGAACTACATAACTAATTATTTTTATTTGAATCTAATACACTTTTTATTTTTCTACAAACTAGTAGTTATACCTTATTTAGTAGAACTTTAAAGTTGATAGCACATTAGATGGACTTATATTCAAGTTAAGAAAAAAGAAAGAACACAATCACAATGTTATCTTTAAGTGAAGGAAAAAATTGTACCTGACAAAGCAGCAGATTTTTTATCGACGTCACTGCCTTCTTACTGTAAAAATACTTTATACTATTTTCCAATAATATATTAAAGACAAAAAGACATGACTTTCCTATCTAGTTATTACGGGCTTTTTTTCGGTTATTTTGTACAACCTAACTCGAAAATTCTGAAAAATTTAAATTTTATATTTTCCTCCAATTTTTCCATTATGGTCCATTTTAGAGAAATCATGTAAAAAAAAAATTATATCGATATGATAAATAACTTTTAATTCAACAATTTTCTTAAAAATCATTATTTTTTACATTTTGTAAAATTTCTAGAATACTGACCATTTTATGAAAATTTTGCATGAAACAAAAATTATAGAAAATAATATTAGAAGTAACTATTCCATAAAATATAAAAACGGCCTCCCATAAAGTACCTCCCCAAATGTTCCGCTTTCTTCCAAAATCTAATCAATTCATCTTAGGCAAAAATAAAACTTAAGTTTAAAATTTATTGTTTTTTTCTTTATCCGTTTTTGAGTTTTCTTCAAAATTCAAAATTTACACATTTTCTCAAATATCTCGAATACAGTCCAATTTAGAAAAATTATCTATGGAATAAAAATTATAGAGAATCATATTACAAACAACTTTTATTTAAACAATTTTTATAAAAAATTAACTTTTTGATATTTTGTCAAATTTCTCGAATACGGACCATTTTAGAAAAATTTTATACTAAATAAAAATTATAGATAATAATATTGTAAGTAACTTTTATTTGAAGAATTTTCTTCTCCAAACGTAAATAACAAATATATTCCATAAAATATAAAAATGACCACCAGTAAAGTACCCCCCCAAATGTTCCGACTCTGTCCAAAATCTAATATGTTCACCCCAGGCCAGAATAAAGCTTAAGTTTCAAATTTGGTTTTTTTCTGTGTATCGGTTCATGAGTTATGGTGGATACAGACACACACACACAGACTGACACACACACACACACGCACGCACCCACCCACACACACACATACACACACACATACACACACAAACACACACACAAACACACACACACGCACACAGGCACACGCACACACACACACACACACACACACACACACACACACACACACACACACACACACACACACACACACACACACACACACACACACACACACACACACACACACACACACACACACACACACACACACACACACACACACACACACACACACACACACACACACACACACACACACAGACACCGACACCGACACCGACACCGACACCGACACCGACACCGACACCGACACCGACACCGACACCGACACCGACACCGACACCGACACCGACACCGACACCGACACCGACACCGACACCGACACCGACACCGACACCGACACCGACACCGACACCGACACCGACACCGACACCGACACCGACACCGACACCGACACCGACACCGACACCGACACCGACACCGACACCGACACCGACACCGACACCGACACCGACACCGACACCGACACCGACACCGACACCGACACCGACACCGACACCGACACCGACACCGACACCGACACCGACACCGACACCGACACCGACACCGACACCGACACCGACACCGACACCGACACCGACACCGACACCGACACCGACACCGACACCGACACCGACACCGACACCGACACCGACACCGACACCGACACCGACACCGACACCGACACCGACACCGACACCGACACCGACACCGACACCGACACCGACACCGACACCGACACCGACACCGACACCGACACCGACACCGACACCGACACCGACACCGACACCGACACCGACACCGACACCGACACCGACACCGACACCGACACCGACACCGACACCGACACCGACACCGACACCGACACCGACACCGACACCGACACCGACACCGACACCGACACCGACACCGACACCGACACCGACACCGACACCGACACCGACACCATCCCGAAAATAGTCAAAACGGATTTAGGGGACCCCAAAACGTGAAAATCCGTCGAAAACTGGAGGTCGAAAAAAATCATGATTCCTATACTTTCCTTATTCGCTCCGTGCGAAGTCATGGAAAGGGAAGCAAAAGCGATATTAGCGCTAGCTGCGGATAATTCGTGCATTTTAGGGGGATATTTTGTAATTTTGGCATATCAAATACACGTATACATTTTACTTTTTTTCAAAAAAGTAGGTAAAAACAACACAATAAGCAACCGGAGTTGCTGTGTTGAAAATTGTACAAATACTAGCAAAAAAAAACAGTGAAACTTATATAACAAATTTCACTAACAAAGTGGAAATTAAATCAAGGAAATAAATGGATAGGTGTACAATAAAAAGAAAAATTACCTTTATTTTTGTGATAATAACAGTAATGCTGGAAATAGTAGACATCAGAAACTAGAAAGTTTTTAAATAAACAATAAATTATCATTTTACGATGTTCTTTAATATCCCTTTATTCTTAAATGTTCAGTCAGCAAGGACTAGATTTCAAGATTTCTGCCGTTGATTATAATATTTGGCTGGTATGCAATTTTGTGACTTACTGATCGGAAACCAGTTTTAATCATTCATTCTATGTTTTCTTTAGAACAAAAATGAAAATATAAGTAGCGATCCTTTTTATACATTTTAACTTCACGCTATTATAAATGGTTTCTTCAATGACAACTTATTAGACTCAGGCAACTTCTCATACATTTTCCTGTAAATACTGTTGCCTGCCTATATTTTATTATTGATTTTTAATGATTATACATAATTTTCTTCAATTTAAGCGTGAAAAATATATAATAATAAATTAATGTTTTAATTGTTTTATAAATCCATATAATTTTATTAAAACTAACATATATACTTTTTATTTACGAATTCTATTAAAAATTGTATTTGTCAGTATAGGCAGAAATACTCCTTTAATACCAAAACAAATTGGCGCTGCTGTCGCGCACGGAGCGAATATCTGTATAAAGATAGGAAAGTAAAAATCAGAACGTCCCAAGAAAAGCATGATTAAAAGAAGAAAATTTCGAGTTTAATGATTTAAATATTTGTTGTTTTTACTAGTGTAGCTTCCATCACATCACAGTGTATTCTTTAAGTCAATACTTTCATACTTTATCCCTAATTTGTATCAAATAGGTAAAATAACCTTTATTTCATCTTTCAACAGTATCCAAAATTTCTTCCGAATCCACAAAAACTCCTTGTTCGGGCAGCTTCGATTCCATGTTAGTCAAAATAATGAACCACAAACTCAAGCCGAAATTGACGCTGTACTACAATTTTTTCAAGAAAACGGCCGAGCAAGCGGCGCTATGGAGATCGATGGGCACCGCTCTTCCTCAGCTTAGAACTGCTGAAGAAAAGGCTAACCTTATTGCCGAGCAAATAGCTAGTAATTTCGTGAATTGGGTGCACGAGAACGGTTTGCATGAAACGTTAACGACCAACGAAGTTATAAACATGTTTAGTCCAATAAAGGATTGGAATAAAATCATTGTTAGACAAGAGGAAGTGTTCTCAGTGCCTGGTCAGGTTGGCTGGAGCTTGGGATTGAGAGAACGGACAACACAGTTTGTGTTGGCCGATCAAATTGTTAAAGATAAGTAAGTATAAATTAATGAGAATACTGAGAACAATGTACACATTAAAACTGTCATAAGAATTCATAACTTGAAACGTAATCTTGTTATTTTATCTATTTTTATAGTGTTTTAAGCTCTTATGATTTTGGGGAGTGGGTCAGGTTATTAAACAACTCCTATTACTTTGAAAAAGAATGTTGAGAGCCACTATATTTAAAACTTACTAAACTTGACTGTCGATTAATGATAAAAATATAAAAAATCACTAACCATTAAGATATTATAATGAAATATGGTTTCAGATAAGGTAGTGACAAATTCTAATTTACAGAAACTTACTTATTCAAATTTAAATGATTTATTTAAGACTTATCTGTTATAAAGGAGGTAGTATTTCAGGAGTGACTGTAGAGGCCTTCTTCAAAGCGATTCGTATGAGATACTTCGGATATCACCAACTCTTCAAGAATAAATCTTCCTAGATAAACTTAAATCTCATAAACTTCTTTAGATGACTCGAACTAAACCTCTTGATATACTTGAAATAAACTTCTGTAGCTGGAACTAAACTTCTAAGTTTCTATACTTCTAAAATAACGAAAACGGTTCCGACCGTTATAATGTTTGGGTTTAAATAACGAAAACGGTTTCAACCGTTACAAACTTGATATGTCGAGTTTTGGTAAGTGAACATAAGAGAATATAGAGTGATACACAAAGTGCGTATCATTGTAACGTTTAAATTTGGCCTTATAGCGGTTTTTCATGAAATAAGAATACATTAGCTTTTGTCCGTCGACAATAATTAATTAATGGGTCCTCCTATACCCGCATTTTTAACCACTGTGCTTTTGGACGATATACGAACGACTGATTTTGTCCTCATCGTCAAAGGCGTGTCATGGGCCCCTTTTGCGACGAACTGGGTGGTTACACTGTATTCAAGATGTCGGTCTAGTGTTTCCGCACTGACATTGAATCCAATATATGATCAGTTTGGTGTAGATAGGACCTTTATTTGCGTTTAGTTAGGCTATTTATTTCGTTTAGAGGCTTTGTTTGCTTATTTTAGCCCTCTCTGTCAAGAATTTATTTCGTACTAGAGGGCGCTGATGGGACACCCATCTGTCACTGAGGTATGTTGGTATTACTGGTTTTGGAATTTTAAGTGACAGATTTCCGGCCTTCTGGAGATATTTTTCTAGACTTATTCAACACGAGGTTTAATTTTGAGGAGTGCTTCGAAATTTATTTGGAATTCATTCCAATCCATTTGGGATATTGCGAAGCAACCCTTTTGTTGTTAAGTTACAGCTGTGGAATTGGTAGTAATTTGGTTTCCACATGTAGGAGCTCTGTTGAGGATATATTATTTGGCCACGTGTTGAATGTCTTTTGGTGAGTCTCTTTTTTATACCATATTTAGTTACGACGTAGAAGTTCTTTTGTAAGGCCTTTCGTCTTTTATTTCAGTGTCCACATATATAAGCCGTTCATGAATTTCAATTGATATGGATTGTCGTTTCCCCTTTGCAGATTAAAAGGGTAAATATGCTTGATTTTAGTTAAAAAGCTTACTTAGACCTGACCCTAGGTTATGTTCTTTTTATTGTATATATTTTCAGTATGTGGGATTGACTATTAGGGGTAGTATTTTGAAATCTAAGGGTGTATTTGCTTATTAAATGTAATTGCTAGGTAGAACTCGCTCCACGAGCCGTCTATCTTTTACTTTGTAAATCTGAAGATTACCTACGTAAATTTATAAGTCGAACTTAATTTAACTAGTAATCGTTGAGTAGTTTTACCTATTTCTATTTATCATTTTTGTGACGAGCCATCATTTTTGTGACGAGCCATCATTTTTGTGACGAGCCATCATTTTTGTGACGAGCCATCATTTTTGTGACGAGCCATCATTTTTGTGACGAGCCATCATTTTTGTGACGAGCCATCATTTTTGTGACGAGCCATCATTTTTGTGACGAGCCATCATTTTTGTGACGAGCCATCATTTTTGTGACGAGCCATCATTTTTGTGACGGGCACAGTATTGACTGGCCATTATTCGTGGGAAGGCCAACACCTTTTGGTATGGGTCAGTAGTCTTTGTGAAGGGCCAACACTTCGTGATCAGCTAGAGATCATCTAACGGTCTATCAACCTTGGCAACAGGCCGGTTGCTTTTCATGCCGTAGTAGGACATCAATCGTCTACTAAGCAGCTGGAGGAAGTTACAGTGTACCGCAAGTTTTGCTATCTTTTTATATATATATCGTTTATTATTATTTAATCTATTTTATTGGGGGGTGTTATTAATATATAATTTTTGTCTAAACCTAATGTAAACGAGGTTTAGGGGTTTATAGTTCATCGTATATTTTTATTAAACCCTAACACTTCACCAAGAGCTCTTCGTGGGTTATATTATTGATGGGTGATTAATATTTTATTAAGTAATAGTATTATACTTGTTTTTACCCCTAGCGTCCGTAAATAGAACACTATTATTTGTTTTCTTAGATAAACACAGTACACACTTCATGTGTTATGGTTTTACGATTACCCCTAGTAACATTTATTGGTTTTTTAAGCTTGATATAGCATTTTAATTGTAAATATTACTCCCAGTGATACTGGATCACTGTTAATAGTTGGGGAATCTGTTAGTTAATGTAGTTAAAGTGATTAATTGTCATTATTTGGTAAATATTATTATTTCATGTTGTGAACGAAGTTGACCCCCCATGTTGGCACGATTTATATATTTATATTAAACTTGCGTATATATTGAAGTTAACTTTTATTTATCACCACTTGCTACATGTCAACACGATTGTATAGCATTTATTTTTATGGTAGAGTACACTTTAATATATATTAGGAGCATACTCGATTTGTAGCCGCTTGATGGCCTTTGAGAGGAGATCAGTTCCCTACTTGGAGTTTGGTAGTGAACTGTCACATTGAGTGTTGGATGTGAGTTTTAAGCTCCTGGCGCCCACAGATAAACATCATTTTTTTTCTACGACTCACCCCTTCTTCACTGTAGTTAGTCGGCATCCAACTTTGGAGTAACATAAATTCCACCTCAGGTGCTTAGGCACGGAAAGTAGGTAGCATTTATTTTTCCTACACCTAAAACATACTACTGTTGCGTCATTTTGAACTCTGGCCTGAGGAGATCTAGAAGAATTCGTTGGCCGATCTTCCACCAAAGCAACGTCCTCATCGGCCTGTACATAAGCCAAATCCGGCTCCAACACTAAATTTCTCCTCGGTGGAGGCACAAAGTTCTCAACAGCATCCTTACGAGCTTCCAACTTCCTACCAAGCTCTCTTAAATGTGCAATAGAGGTAACATCTACTAATGCCAACTGATTTTGATAAAATGGGGCTATGTTCCTAAGTAAAATTCGCAACTTTGTCTCATCTGGAACTACACAAGTCAACCTATTAAAATACCCTAGCATCACCGCTAAATAAATTCCCATAGACTCATCGGATCCCTGTGTTCGTCTACGAATCTCTTCAAACACCTTTTCATCATAAGTCGGTGAAAGGTACTCCTCCTTGAGCAAAGTAACGAATTGGTCCCAATTGCTAACCTCATTTCGATAAGCCAAGTAAAATTGATAGGCTCTGCCAGCAAACAAATCAATACCAGATTCAAGTAGAGTCTCTTTAGATACGTGTCGCGCTACCCTCAGCTCTTCAACTCTCTCTAAAAATGCGCCTAACGACATTCCCTTCTTATCACCAGAAAACGAGATGTTCCACTTGTTAGGCAGTATGGGCTTCATCTGCGCAGCTGCAGTAGGTTGTATTGCCATTCTAGAGCTAGATGTTGTTGGACTTGAAGCAGCATCGACTGGTCCAAAAATAGGCTGCTGTTGGTGCACCATAAAACTTAAGTGAGGTGGTTCCCTCATCGCAATATCATGCTGCTCTGCTTTTGCATGTAAATCACCCAACATAGCCAAAGCCCTAGAACGTAGTGGTGGTGCAAGCGTCGATTTTTCCATACGCGCAATCCTACCCAAAACATGCCCTAACCTAGACTCTATTTTCAAATATGCACCGCTACCTGATGAGTCCCTAAAATCGTCAACTAATTTTCCAAGTATGTCCAAATTTTTTAACACTGCAGTCTGATCCTCCACCTCTGTGAAAGGATACTCAGGAAAACTAATACTATCACCAGACTTCTCCAACCGAAGAGCTGTTGATAATGCAGAACGCATTTCCTCCACCGTACCTAATGCAATGCCTCTAACCTGGGCCTCATACGACAGCTCGTCCTTACCAAGTCTATTAATTTGCATTCTGAAAGCCATCTTAAACTTAGATTTCACTCCAAAAATTTACAATAAAAAAAATTCAAAATACCCCAAGGTGACTCAACAGTCCAAAAATTCAATCAAAAAAAATAAATTACCTTTGATCCTAAATAAATTCCCAAAAGATCAAAGACAATAACCATATGCAAAAATATCAAATATGTACCTTATATCAAAACAGTTCAAAATATCCACTTATATATGTATACAGTTGTATACCCTGTATATAGCTAGGCCACAATCAATAGTCACAAAAAAAGTGTAATCAAAACCGCAAGTCATTAAATCCACAAGGTCAATAAATCCGCAGTCAATAAAAAAAATTCAATATGAATACCAATTAATATCAAATAAATACCACTTGCCAAAGTCAACAAATTTATCAGTATCTACATACAAATGTTACCAAAAAAACTATAGGCATTGATTGTAGCCACAGTACAAAAAATCAGACAAAAAAAATGTCTCAAATCTGAACTAAAAGAAAGTGAATATTAATTAAAATAATAATAATAATGGAATTATTTTATTATTTAGTTATTTCCCAAAAATCTTAGTTCCCACTAGATTAAATAGCAAATCCCTTTACTTAAATAATAATAACTAGTGGCTAAACAATCTACCAAAAAAAAACTCAAAATATGGTAAAGTACCCGAAACAATGTTTTTTTTTTTCCTAAT